CAAAACGTTAAAACACACTGAACATTAGCAAATACAAAAATAAAATGAAATAATTCACATATTCCTATGTACATACAGTTATATGAACAAACAGGTATTGTAGTACAGATTCATGAAGGGATAATCCTTTGTTTCTGCCAAAAATGATTAAGGGACCAAGATTTAAATCTTAACGCTGTCACACCCGATACCGTTGAGGCCCTGAAGTTAATCCCTATCCAGTAATTTTCCAAGATATCTAGAAGTAGAAAAAGAATAAAATGTAAGTGCTCAGTGTGTGTTGGTCTATTATCCTATATTATCTACTCTTCTACACACATCCTTCATTTGATAGCAGAATTCATGGCAGAGCCCGCAATACCTGATGAAAAATTTAAATTAAAAAATAACTAAGGCATTTTTGAGACGCCTAAGTATGTTAGTTTCCTCTGTGCGGCAGCTTATTTATGCAAGAGACTATGGAATAAATTCCCAAAAGATCTGGAGAACATCCACTTGCTGGATTAAACTACAGACTCTACTCAAAATACTCTTTCTTGAACCTTGAACTCAATAATATTGATTAATTTGGTATTTTATTACCTAATAATTCAACATGAACGAACGAAAAATAGAACGTGTCTCAATGACGACTAAATTCGAACTGCTTTCATACTCTAACACAGAAAGGATGAAGCAGGTAGTCATCCCCTTTTGGTATACAAATAGTTCCCAAAGTCCGATGGTCATAAATCATGAGAAATTGCTCCAACATTTTGCCTCCCTTGGAATCATATAAGGCTGTATGACACCTGTTAAATTTGATGACAAAAATTTTAACAAAAATGATGACGAAAATATTTTTTATGTGTCATAAAGGTGCTGATTTTGCGCAGATTTGCAAACATTCTTGTAAAAATATAGGACTGGTTCTAAATATTTTGATATTATAAATATTTATACTGTATGGCAGATAGAAAATATTTTTGTTATCATTTTTGTTATCATATTTGTCATCAAATTTAACAGGTGTCATACAGCCTCTGAGACTGCACTTCCAAAACACAAAATATATCTGAATGTACATATCATATATCATTATATATAGAACATGTATCAAATAAGCAGAACATTCAGTCTCGATATCATCAGTCTTCAATGGCTCCTATAGGTAGTTTACACAATTTATTAATTGCACGTCTCACCAAACCGTTCACGGTTTTAACGCTGGCAACTCGCACCAATTCGTCGCTGCCTGGATGAAGTTGCGCAACTCTTCCCAATGGCTAGCTCATGGGTGGAGAATTTTCATTCTTCAGTAGAACCATGTCGCCGACCTTCAATTCGTGGACCTGGGACTTCCACTTATATCGTTGCTGAAGAGATGACAGATTTTCTGAGTTCCAGCGAGCCCAGAAGTGTTGACACAATTGTTGAAGCCGATGGTAATGATCAATTCTGTTTGTTGACACTTCCTTCATGTGCAGCTGCGGGACAGAAGTTAGAACGTCTCCTATCAGGAAATGGCTTGGGGTTAAAGGAATAAGGTCGGAAGGATCGTCTGATAGAGGATTCAATGGCCTTGATTTCAAAATAGCCTCTATCTGAATGAATACTGTGGTCAACTTTTCATACGTTAAATGAGCATTTCCAATAATTCTTTTTGAATTATGTTGCGGATTTTACGGCCGCCTCCCATATCCCATCCATATGAGGGGACCTGAAGGTATAAAATGCCAGTTTATATTGCTTCAATTCGTTACAGGCACCACGGAAATTTGTGTCGTTATCATAATAAAGATTTTTGGAAATTCCTCTGCCAAAAATAAATCTTTTGTATTAAAAAATGATTGAGTTGTTAAATCACTCGAAATTTTCAAATTCACTACCTTTGTTACAAGACCACACAAAAATACAGACGTAACACTTTACCATTTTAAGGGATCGTGTTTCACCATCTTTGTTATAAAATGGACCTGCATAATCTAGACTTCTATTGTAATATGGCCGAACTGCCGAACTGGCTCCAAACGATGAGATGGTAAATTTCCCATTTTCTGTTTTAGTAGGCGTGGTATAAATCTAAAGCAAACAATACAGTCGTGTACAATCTTTCTAATTATGTTACGTCCCTTGAGTGGCCAAAATTGCAAACGCAAACTGAACAAAGTAGGCTGAGGACCTGAATGGACAATTTTTCAATGTTCGTTTTGTATTATAAGTTTTGTCAATTTGTGATTCTTTGAAAGAACTATCGGATGTTTTTGATCAACCTTCGCGTTCGTTATTCTACTTCTACCACCTACTTGAATGATATTATGCTCGTCTAGAAATGGATTGAATGTAGATAATTTGCTACATTTAGATAAGTTCCTTCCGTTTTGAAGCCGAGCAAGATCTTCAGGAAATTCTTGTGACTGCGTTATTCTCAATAATACCTGAAAAGCTTCAGTGATTTCATCATACATAATATTATGCTAACGTCCCAACTCGTCGATTTGCTAATCTGAGCGAATTATTTTTGAATCTCAAACAATACGCAATAACCCTTTTCAATTTGTTGGGACAAGAGTATTTATCAAAAGAAGAATCGGTTTCGGTTATTAATATAAATGATTTTAGCTTTGCAACTTTATGTTCAGGTATGATGGTAAATTTTTGTCTTTCATATACTGGCCACGAGTTTGGCGCTTGACTTCACCATGAATAGAATAGAATAGAATAGAATAGAATTTTATTAACCACGTTATGTATAAATACATTTGTAGCAAGTCAAAATGAGATACAGGTAATAGGGTGTATTGAAAGCGATATGAAATAAAATAAGCTCTATAAGAGTGTTGAACTATTCTAAACCTAATATGAAAAATAGCAATTGATAGATATATCAGTGTATAAGTACAATACAATAAAAATAAAACTCCATAAGAGTATAAAACTAGTATAAACCTAATATGAAAAGTAGCAATAATTAATAGATATATCAGTGTGTAAGTACAATACAATAAAAATAAAAATACATGTAATGACATAGTAGGTACATTGGACATTACATATTCAAGACCGACAATGGTCATATAATAAAAGTTCAGATGTCTAGATGAATGGAGTCTCCATATATTCCTGAACTGAGTAAAAAGATTTTTCAAGAAGAAATTTCTTTATTGAGTTTTTAAAACAAAAGATATTCATATTTTTGATGTGTGGTGGGAGTTTATTGTATATTTTAACATCTAAGGTGTTGCGAGTAGATGTTAGTTTGAGCCTTGGAGGTCTAAAGTCTCCTGCCTTTCTTGTTGGATAGTTGTGGAAGCTTGCATGGGTCGCGAATGAGTCATGTTATGGCGGAAATGTGTCGAGATATTTAAAATGAGTAGTGAGGGTTTGAAATGTTTAAAAAGTGGTTTGCAGTGTTCATCATATGTTGCCCCAGCTAGAGTACGAAGTGCTTTTTTCTGCATACGGAAAGCTCTAATTGAGTGAGTTGAATTACCCCATAGTAGGATTCCATATGATAAATGTGACTGGAATAGGCTGTGATAGGATATGATTAATACTTCCAAGGTCAACACCTTTTTCATTTGACGAAGCAAGTAGAGTTGTGTAGCGAGTTTTTTGCAAAGCTGATCTTTGTGATTTTCCCACCTCAGGCCGTCATCGAGAACTATGCCTAGGAGTTTTGTGTGGTGATTTGATGTCAAATTGGAGTTGGTTGAAAACAGGATTTTTTGTGCTTTATCTTTGTTGAGTTTTAGCATGTTCGTAGAAAACCATTCCTCTGCTATATCTTCAACTCTTTTAATAGTTTGCTCGAGTTCTTCAGCGCTAGTGTTGGCCCGCAACATTATTGTCATCTGCATAGCATACACAGATGTTAGGTAATAGATAGTTAAAGATATCGTTTTTGTATATTACGAACAGAATGGGACCGAGAATAGAGCCCTGAGGAACTCCGTGTTCTATAGATCTAACATCCGAGCATGAATTACCTATACATACAGTTTGTTTTCGTTGGGTCAGGTAAGACTTAAGAAGGTCTGGTCTGATGCAGTGCCACAGATCCCATAGAAATTGAGCTTTTCTACCAGCAAGTCGTGATTGACGCAATCAAGAGCCTTACTCAAGTCCCACATTGTGACAGCAGTATGTTCGCCTCTTTCGAGACTCTCAACAATGTTGCGAACCACTTCCAGGACTGCTCCAGTTGTTGAGCGATTGCATGAGGGGCCGTTCAACCATAAATCGCAATTTATCAAGTTTTTAGGTGTAGTGCCACGGGAAATTACATCCGCCGGGTTATCTTCTGACTTCACATGTCTCCATTGAGTTACTTCTGTTGAGCGTTGAATTTCGGCAACCCTGTTACAAACAAAAGTTTTCCACTGACCTGGCGATACGGACAACCACTCCTAAACGATAGTGGAGTCGCATCATAAATATATATCTGTTATATTCAGATTTAAATCCTTTATTACTCTATTCACTAATTCAGCTAACAGAAGTGCTCCAGCAAGTTCCAATTTCGGTAATGTCCCGTGCCCTGAGAGCACATACAATTCATCTTATCAAAGTTTCATATACAAAAAAAAAAACTTGACTGGAGATGAATTCGAGCATTCCTTCCTTTGAATAAATTACACTCTACTTGGACTTCTACCAAAGATTACCCTGTGGATCGTTTGTTCCGAGCACCCTATATTTTCTGATGTAGCTGAGAAAAAATGTATGAAAAATCATTTCAAATAGTTCTTAACATTTTGAAATCGGGTCAAAAATATCTGAGTTAGAGGTGGGGGGACATTTATGGTGAATCCTCTATGCACTATCGTAACTTTCACTTAACCGTCTCCATTTTTCTAGGTGATGGTACCACTGGTGTTGTAGTCTTGGCTGGTGCTCTGCTTGAACAAGCAGGCGCTTTATTGGATCGTGGTATTCATCCTATCAGAATAGCGGACGGATTCGAATTGGCCTGTCAAACTGCCGTAGCCCATTTGGAAAAGATTGCAGAACTTTTCCCAATGTCTGTTGACAATAAAGAACCTCTCATTAAGGTATTATTTTCCCAATGTCTGTTGACAATAAAGAACATCTCATTAAGGTATCATTGACGCAAGGGTTTTGGCTTCCTTGATTTTTCACAGAGCTGAAGTTAAGCTATTTCATTTTTGAGTGTTGTGATGGCATTTGAATATTATTTATTGACTTGACTGTGATAATTGGTGGGTTATGATATTCCTAATCATTGGGGATTATTGAGTTATTTTTTGTTTCAAAAAAAGGTGCTGTTTGTAAGATGTGCCATTGTTGAAACCAGTTCAATGGAAATTCATGAAAAGTGCAATAAATGCTTCCAAGTTATTTTTAAATATAATGAAAATGTACCAGATACAAATAAGCTTTATTGGAAAACACCATAACAAATGAAATATATAAACTAAATGTATCTACCATACTGGCTAAAGTAACAGTGTCATAGCTCAAAATGTGCCACTAATGCTGTGTCACTATTACCCAAACATCACACAGCAGAATCAACGATATACTGAAAATATGCCATTGATGCAACTTGCACTTGGTAGCCTGTAGTGGCACAAGCGCCATCTCGAAAATACTATCTGAACCAATTTTATACCAGTATTGATGGATGGAACTTCATCTAATTTCAAATTGTTTCACGTGTTTTAACGTGTTTTATATTTTTTTGAGATGTGCCACTATTGTCGCCGGCGATATGCTCAAACTGTATTGTTGATTCTCCTACCTATTTTTTATCAATATTTTTTTGTAGGTAGCAATGACTACCTTGGGCTCAAAGATTATTAACAAGTGTCACAAACAGATGGCGGAAATCGCAGTTGATGCTGTTCTGACTGTTGCCGATTTGGAAACTAAGGATGTCAATTTCGAGTTGATCAAAGTTGAAGGAAGGGTACGTTCTGAAAAACAAGAAAAATAATGATTTTATGATGATAATGATGAGTGTATGTTATATTTTGATTTTCTAGGTTGGTGGAAAACTAGAAGACAGCTGTCTAGTTAGAGGAGTAGTAATAGATAAAACAATGTCCCATCCACAAATGCCCAAAGTACTGAAAGATGTTAAGTTGGCAATCCTCACCTGCCCGTTTGAACCACCAAAACCCAAAACGAAGCACAAGTTAGACGTTGACAGTGTAGAAGCATACAAGGAATTGAGGGAATATGAAGCAGAAAAATTCAAGGAAATTGTTAGTAGTTTTAAATTAATGCAGCGTATTATTATATAATCGGTTTTATCTGGCTATAGCTTTCTTGATTTCGACAATATAAATTAATTTAATGTTCATTTTCAGGTTGGATTAGTGAAAAATGCTGGGGCTACTTTAGCTATTTGTCAGTGGGGCTTTGATGATGAGGCAAATCATTTATTACTACAACAAGAATTGCCGGCAGTTAGATGGGTACGTATATTAATACCTTAATTTCTAGTTTTTTCCACTAGCTCTAGAATCCACCATTAATTTACATTTGTAAGGTGATATCCAAATGCATGAATGCATGAAAACTAATTATAGATCAATTACTAATCATGAAACAAATATAGTATACACCTTGGTAGTAAAAAATGTTATGGTGTATACAAACATCAAGTGTTTCAGGAAATGAAACGTTTGTGTTGTATGTTTAATTACAATCAATAACGTTCTGTTTTCTCGGAGAATTGATTCTATGCACTAGCGGGCGGTAAAGTGTCAGTTTACGCCCGTTTTTACCCACAGGATGACAATTTAGCTCGATTTGTCGATGTATTGCTAGACAACAGCCATATCAGCTTGATTGACGACGTCAAAATTAGGTAGATATATACTGGATATAAATTTTGTAACATTTCAGGAAATGAATATCTTTTAGTGAACAAAGAGTTTCACTTTCACGATAATTGCGTTATTCCTTCACCTTTAACCTTGAACAAAATTAAAATCGAATTTTTTACTCATACTGAATACTTACTGCACACAACAACTGAAGAATAAGACAATCTGAGGATTAGTGATCGATATATTTTAACCTGTGAGCAGAGCGTGTTGGATGCATTGGTTGATTGGGTATCACACGAGGATCTTCAACACCCCAAATCCGAAAGTTTTGCTTATTTACGTATCCGTCGTGTTGAAAATGTGCCTCATCTAAGAAATTATTTTATAAAAGAATGATTTTTTGCAAAAAATCCTCTTCAATTTGATGATGTTTCAACACTCAATCAGCAAATTTACGGTGCTGTGCATGGTCTTGTTAGTACCTATTGAGAGTCCAAAATGAAGCGCCTTATATCTAGTGGCAAAAGTCACTCAGTTTCATTTGACTCTATGTAGACATGTAATATCAGATGTTATGGTTGAAAACGAATGAATGTTTTCAATGTTCCTAAAATTTGATTATTAAACCTTAGTTACAAGTAAAATCAACTAATATTGTTGAAATATAGTGCGTCATATTTCATTAAACTCATAGGAAATATGTTTTTGAAGTTTTATTTGTATTAAAAACTATTGTCATTGTATTTCAGATGAAAAATTTGTTATTTAATGTTTCCCATATTTTAGTACTAAAAACAAGTTATACTGAAATGCTCTGCTCTTTATACTCTCAGGGAATACTTGGGGATCGAGAAATAAAGTAACCTTTAGGCAGCCAAATACATATAATACAGTATCATCAAAGTTCCGTTGACAACAAAACAACTGTCCAAATCAAATCGCAATGATTTTTTTATAAGAATTCTCCCCAAACGTCCCTTGAATGTTCAGTCCGAAATCACTAGGTTCAGATTCAGTACTAAATAGTATAAATACCTGGGTATCACGACAGTGTATTATTAAAAAGGTGATAAATATATCCATACGACTTTGCCCGGACGAGCCTTCATCCTTAGGTAAAACGACTCAGCTACTTAGGAACTCAGCAGTTCTGGTTTCAAGACCATCGAAAACTAATGCCTTGAAATAACCTTATTTCCCAATGCACAGCGTTTTTCGTATGTTTTGGGTTAACAACTTCTATCGACCTCCTGGACTCCTCACCTAACTTCTGTGCATTCCGCATCCCGCGCTCAGCTCCATGCTCGCCGGTATCGCTGTCCTTTATCTGCCATCCTTTTTTCATTTGTTTGAGAGAGAATCATAATAACACTCGCGAATATTTCGATGAGTGGCTCATCACAATACCTAAGTGTCAATTTTTTTTTCGACATCTACGCAGAATAGGTCGTAGGGTTCATCTTTTATTTATTTATTTATTTATTGAAGTAATACATCCAACAGACTAAAAGTCCAATTACAGGAGTATATAACAAGAGGAGAATGTGCATCACACACTTACCTAAGCATAGTATAACACTATGACTATAACATAAATATCTATGAGTATGATAAATGAAATGAAATAAGAACACTATTTCAACCAATGATTATGTTAGTTTGATATGAGCCTATACAGAGCTTTTTTGAAGTGACCAGAACTCAAAAAAAATATATCTACTGAGGGTAAATTATTGAAACATCTACACATATAGTTAATACCATTTTGAAAATGATGCTGCGAATTAGGTACATCAATATGGAAAGTTAGGCTAGTTCTAGAGACTGAGCGAGGTACATTGAAATTTAAGAAAGACAACAAAGTTGATGAATCGATTTCATTGTGGATAAGTTTATGGATGAAGGAGAGAGCAGCAATTTCACGACGTTTTTTTAAAGAGACAATATTGAATTCATTCAAAAGTAGGTGATAATCATAGTGTCTCACAGGATACGAGCCGTGCACTTTGAAATAAATAAATTTTAAAAATTTACGTTGAATGTTTTCAAGTTTGTCAATATACTTATTATGATAGGGATTTCATATTTGGCTGGCGTATTCCATTTTCGTCCTAACCAAAGAGAAGTATACACATTTCATTGCTTCGACTAATTGAAATTCTTTGCAATTACGTATAACGAATCCGAGTAGGCGTGTTGATTTATTAACAATATTTTCTATGTGGGAAGAGAAAGTCAACTTCGTGTCGAACGTTATTCCCAAATCCTTACATTCATGCACCCTCATAACAATGTTATCGTTCAGCATATAGTTGTGTACAATAGGAGACTTACGTGAATATGTCATCACTTTACATTTACTGATATTGAGTGGTAAGTTATTGGAGTTACACCATTTCACAAGGTTAGACAGATCATGCTGTAAAGAAATGCAGTCCGTTATGTCATTAATTTCACTATATATTTTCATGTCATCAGCAAAAAGGAGCTTATTCGATTTAATGGAATCACATATGTCATTAATGAACATGAGGAACAGTAGCGGCCCTAGATTGGATCCCTGTGGTACTCCAGAATATGCGGTGAACTCAAAACTTCTTTCTCCTTCATACTCAACATACAGATTTCTATCCGACAGGTAACATTTCAGAAGGCTCTGAAGTTTAGTGGATATTCCAAATTGGTCCAGCTTCCTCAACAGTAATTGATGAGACACTTTGTCAAAAGCCTTACTGAAGTCGGTGTAAACCACGTCCACCTGTTTCCTATTATCCAATGCATTTGAAACATATTGAGTGAAAGTACAGAGGTTTGAAATCGTATTACGAGCTTTTACAAATCCATGTTGGAATTCTGATATGGACCCAACAATATGACTGTATATTAAATCCGATAAAATAATTTCAATCAGTTTAGATAAAACAGATATTAGAACAATTGGCCTATAATTTGTTATGTCGCTTACTTTACCTGACTTGTGAACTGGACAGATACGTGAGATTTTCCAAAGTTTAGGAAACCGACCCGTGCGTAACATGGTGTTGAAAATAATTTTTAGAGGTAGGTGAAGGTGGGATATATGTGTTTTTATTAATTTGGCGGGAATGCCATCAGGTCCGCAGGTCAATTTGTTCTTTAACTTTTTTGATGCTTTCAAAATTTGTTCCTCACTGATTTCGTTAATAATTAGTGGAGTACTGAAATTATACATTGAATCGGGTGGTTTACACGGATTATTATCAGTAGCATAGACACTTCTGAAGTGTGTGGCAAAACCATCAACAATTTCTTTTGGAGTTGAAAGAGAAAGATTTTGATGCATCATGCGACCAGGAATTCGGGTTTTATTTTTTTTGGAGTTAATAAAAGCCCAAAAAGAATTGCAGTTGTTATTTCAGTTTTTATTGCCTTACGTAAGTTCTTGAATCGTTCAAGATGAAACAGGTATTTTGTTTTTTTGTACATCCTGAAGTGATGATTTTTTATTTTCAGTTTATTAGTGATAGTTTTGGTATACCAATGTGGATAGGTACGATGTTTGATTTCATTAAATGGAACACATTGAGAAATTACTGATTGCAGCACGTTGTTAAATGCTTCACTGGCTAGGTCCGGGTCATCCATAGATTCCAAAAAATTCCAATTCAAATCTTCAAGCAATCCTGCGAATTTCTCGTTATCAATCTTGGTGAAGTCATATCGTTCTGTACATGAATGAAATTGTTGCTCTCTCGAACAATCTATGGATAGTAAGATGGATAAACATGGATGATGCAAGTCCACTGGTACCAAAGATTCAGACTCATTAATTACAACACAATCATCATGCTTATCTGAACATAGTACAAGATCTAGGATTCTATGATTCTGATTCAAAATGAAGTTTCTTTGTGATAAGGCAGTAAAATTTGAGAATGAGAGTAGGCTATTCACAAGATTTGTTGATTGACCCTGATCATAATAGTTTTGTAACTCGGTTATGTTGAAGTCACCAATAATTATTGACTGGCTAATAAATGGAAGGGTTTCTCTTCTCATCATATCAAAAGCAACTCCAACTCATGACATTTTTTCACCGAATCTCCCACGCAGCAGAATTGATTCCCGATAATTTTGCTGCTAGGGTCTCCCGCAGGGCTCACCCCTATAACCATGTCTGTTCAACATCTACTGCCACGATGTATTTGTCCAGAACATTCCAAACCATCAGGAACGATTCACATCGCCCTATGGAGGTCAATTCGCTGACGACACTGCCATAATTAGCCACAAAACACTTGAGAAAACTGTGAGAAAGTTACAAGAAGCAATTGAGGATACTATGAGATGGTGTGACAAAAGGAGACTGAAGCCAAACGCAGAAAAATCCCAACTGATAATATTCAACCATAATATCTCCAATAATTTACCTTCAGTCAGTGTGAATAATCATATAGTGAGAACGAGCACAGTAGCCAAGTACTTAGGAGTTCACTTGGACCCGAAATTGAACTTTAATCACCACTCTAAACTCATGAAAAAAAAAGTGTATCACAAGAGCCAAACATTTTCGGAAATTAACATATAAGAAGAGAGGAATTAGGAGAAAAACAGCAGCTCACATTTACAAAGCCATATGCCGCCCCATACTCGAATATGCTCACCCAATATACATCAACACCAGAAAGCCACCCATGAAGAATCTAGAAGTAGCAGAAAGATCTAGCCTGAGAGCAATCACGAAAATACGACATCCTCAAAACCCCCTTCACAACCCTCCAAATTAACTCCTCTACCAACTCACTAATGTACAACCAATCAGCGAGAGGCTGGAAAAACTAGCACAGAAGTTCTCCAACAATGAAAGTAACCTGCAGATCATTCAAACCCAGTGCATCCAAAGACACCCTACAGAGTCCTCAAGTCACAAATTTCCAGTAAACACCTTGGTGGAATGCTTCACCAACATTACAGAAATGCCAAGAAATTAAGAAATCCATCAATCTTGAACACTTTCCTTCTTTTTTTCTTTACTCACATCAAACAATAATTCACATAAATTTGATTTTATTTTAATATTCAATCAATGAAATGAAATACAAGAGATTTAAATGTAATACAGGATGAAGGACTTCGGTCGGTGACCAATTGGGTAACCAATAAAGCACTTTTATTATTATTATTATTATTCAAGTGAAAATGATCCGTTCATTGAAGGTGGGCGGCCCCGAAATCGAACTGATCGCCATAGCGACGGGCGGGCGCATCGTGCCGCGCTTCGAAGAGCTCAGCCCCGAGAAGCTCGGCAGCGCCGGCTTGGTGAGAGAGATCTCGTTCGGCACCACCAAGGACAAGATGCTGGTCATCGAGGAGTGCTCGAACTCGCGTGCCGTCACCATCCTCGTTCGGGGTGGCAACCAGATGCTGGTGGCCGAGGCGAAGAGGAGTCTGCACGATGCGTTGTGCGTTATCAGGAGTTTGGTGCAGGTTGGTGATTGTTGAGACATGTCGTTCGACCCATTTTGCTTTACAGGCCTCTTCAGTATCTCATTACGTTATCGTTAGGTGTCGTTAATAGGGAGTTGAAGTGTTGCCATGAACGTGAACGTAGAAATTGCCAGCTAAAGGGCTTTCACACTAGGTTGATAGTGACGTCAATACGTCAA